GGTTCAAAAGATTTAAACTTAAAAAATTAAATTTAAAAATTATAGTGGTGTCATTAAAAAATAAGTTAAAAATTTTAAATTTACAATATAAAATATTTTAATGGCCAAACTGAAATTGACCCGACTTGGTTAGGTTGGGAAATTGCTGAACTGAAACCCACTAGAAATACTAGAAAACCGACCAACTCGAGTCGAGTTGGGTCGTGTTGGTCGGTTTCACCAATTTGATGAACAACCTAGCTGAAATTAATTATTGTTATTTTTGTATTGTAAAAAAGTATTAAAATTAGTATAAAAAATATAACTAATTATTAATTAGTTAAAAGGTTAAAATATAAAACAATTGTCCACTCTTATATGCTTTTATTGTTTAGTTTTTCCTTAACAAAGCATTTGCATCGCACAGGTCCCTACTAGGTGCAACTTTAGTGGGTTGGGTTGGGTTGAGGGTCAATCCAATCCTAAGTCTCAAACCTCAAGCTCAAGCTTTGTCCATTTCAAGGTTAAGCCTGAATTTACCAACCTAGGCCCAACTCAACCTTAACTAAGCATCTCATGCTTAGGGATGACAATTTCTACTCTACTCGATGGGTATCCTCCCCTACCCACCTCGAGGAGGTGGGTTTTTTTGTTTAAGAGATGGGTTTTGAGGAAAGTCGTGTTTTAGGATTCTACAACTTGTGCATTACAGGTAGGGTACGTTATTAGGCTAAACCTGACCCCTCAACCTGCACATTGTTGGAAAATATATAAACTTAATGTACTATGTGTTGAATTTAATAATATTTTGAATTAGATGTAAATGATAATTGATGATTTACGTGTTCTTACATCTTAATCAAATGATTGGAAATTTTGTTGTTTATTTATGTTATTTTACTTATTTATTGCTTTTATATAACAAGAAATAATAGGAAATTAGATGTAGGTTTTAAACCCAACCCTTGAATATGGGGAGGGTTTTGCATTTTCATGTGTGAGGAGGGTTTGGATTCTCAAAATCCAACCCGCTAAGCGAGTAAAGTCTAGAATTTACAAAACCCTCCCCATCTTAAAGTTAAAAAACTCATATCCAACCTATGCAAAAGCTTTGATTGAAGTAGGTTGGGCTTGAATTGGGCACACGCAACTTGCACCCTTAGCTCTATTGCTTGAAACTGCTTTAACAAAACCTGTGCATCGCACGAGTCTCTACTAGTCTCTACCTAAAGAAATTTTGAATTAAAATGTTTATTAAGAAGACAAAAAATAATTATAATAGATTTAATAAAATTCATATTGTTAATAATTTCATATTTTTACAAAATTTATGATGAAATTATGTACTAACAATATAAATAATAATTTAACAGATTATTCAATTTAAATGTTATTCAAATAATAAAAATATAACATTAAAAATAATGAAACTTTGTAATATTTTAAAAAATTTCTTAACAGTAGAAAAAATATTAAGTTCAATAAATAATTATATTTTAAAAATTTAAATAACTAAATAATATTGCAAATAACTAATTTTACTTATATTAATTAATAATGCTAGCAAAATTGTATATACTAAAATTAATATTTATTGTATTTTCATTAATTATTTGTTGAACTTTTGTGATAATGTATTTTAAATAATTATGAATAAATATATTTTTGTTTTGTTATTTAACCAAAAATTTTCAATAATTATTGAACATTAAACTACTCTTATTTAACTTTTTAAATTTAATGTATTATACTTATTTTATTTATTGTCGTTTAGTTATAAAATTATTTTTAGTAATTATGTATTTTTTTATAATTTATTAATTAATATTTATTAGAGATTAAACTATTACTTGAGATTACACTATTTATTTATTAATTTAATATATTTTCTGTATTTATTGTATTTTCATTATAAATTTATTTTCAAAAATTGTGTATTTTGCTATAAATTTTCAATAATAGTTATTTATTAAAAATTAGACTATTAATTTAGCTGAAATTAGAAATGTTCACGGGGTAGGTTCAGTTCAGTTGCATGATTTTGGCTAACCAAACCAATCTGGTCAAGTTGGGAAGTTGGTTACTCGAAACCAACTGACCATTAGTGAAAATCAGCCAAGTTGTTGTATCGATTTGGGTTGATTATCGGTTTAGTAAATCGGTTCAAAAGATTTAAATTAAAAAATTAAATTTACTATAAAATATTTTAGACTAAGAAATATGAGAATTTCCCACTTTCTCGTATTAAAAATTATATTTAAAATATAAATATTAATATATATACATGGTCAAGTCGGTTTACAAATGACCAAATCGGAACTGACCCAACCTGGTTGGGTTGGGAAATTGCTGAACTAAACCCAATTGGAAATACTAGAAATCTGATCAGCTCAGGTTGAATTGGATTGGGTTGGTCACTTTCATCGGTTTGATGAACCCTAACTGAAATTAATTATTGTAATTTTGTATTGTAAAAAAATTATTAAAAGATTAAAACATAAAACAATTGTATACTCTTATTTGTTTCTACTATTTAACTTTTGCTTAACAAAATTCATACATGGCACGAATCCTGCTAGTATATAATTATATTCTGCATGTAATATATATGTTTTATTTTAAGCTTAACTTTTCTATATTTGAAATCAAGATTTGAGATATAAAAACTGTTATTTCAACAAAAATAATGGATCAAGGTGCCTTCAGCCCTTGCATTGCTGTAGATCGGAAAAAGTAATCCTAAATAAATAAATAAATAAATATATATATATATATATCACTTCAATCCAACCAACAAGTGCAAATAAGTTATGGCCTCTCAAATATTTTGGGCATTATATAATTTATAACCCAGAACAGATTGTGTGGGTCAAATGGCATAACGGTTCATGCGTCCAGGTTGACATATTTTTTGACCAAGTCGGTGGTTTTGCACCAATTTTTGAGTTTAAGGTTAATCCAGACCAAAATTTGCACTTATTGGCAATTCAAATCAAGGTTTTAAAAAAATCGGATAAGACGTGAAGCTGTTTTGGCCACTGATTTTCGAGTCAAACAGTTCAACCATCAGGTTTAAATGGACGGTTTATTCTGATTTAAAAAAATTAAAAAATAATTAAAAAATGGTCAAAACTGTTGTTCGGATCAATAATCGACCACCAAATCAGTGGGTAGGTCACTGATCAAGTCAACGGTTTTTGGCCAAGAACGGTTAGAACGAAATAGAACCAATTGCCATTCCCGAATCAACTGGTCCGGTCCGATTTCAAAATTATGATTCAAATGGTTCAACCACCTGCGTCAATAACGATTTGAAAACATAGTCTGACAATTTACGTATTTCATCATTTGAATTGTTCACTTCCGATTCACATTCTTCTTGGTATTTTAATTAGCGGTTTGTCGGATTGATTGGTTTTTATTTTCTTTGACCTAAAAATGATCGCACGTCGCCTGAGAGATTCGAACTCTCGCGGCGAGACCCCATGTACTTAGCAGGCACACGCCTTAACCACTCGGCCAAAGCGACGTTTGACCATTTGATTCAATTTAAGTATTCAACAGCCAAGTTGGAGAGTCATCCAACTCTCAAATTATTGATTTGTACATGCAGTCTAGGATATTTTTTTTTTTGTTAATAATAAATAGTAGTTTCATATTTAATTTTTCCTTCATTCACTAGACTACAATTATTAAAATCAAACTATCACCACTATTGGTGACATTACCTATTTATAGTTTATTAAATTTTAAATGACGCCCACCATTGGACCAAATGATAGGTGGAAAGAGGTGTATTCGTTCTCAATTTTTAGGGTCCGTTTGGTTTGTATTTAGAATTGGAATTGAAATTAGAATCAAAGTCAGAATGATTTATTTTCATAATCTGCTTGATTCAGATAGAAATGGAAATGGGAATAGGAATTAGCAGGAATTTCATTCTCTCAAATGGAAGAATCAGAATAGCTCAACCAAATGAAAATTGAAATCAGTAAGAATGTAAATGGGATTCCGATTCCACCCAACCAAATAGTTGGAATCGAAATAATCCATTCCGATTTCGATTCCAGACTCGTATTCATGTAACTGAAACGAGGCTTTAATTCCAACAAGAGAAAGAGTTGATTCATTCAGGGGTATTTTGTTAGATATAAAATCCCATCTTCGCCAATTTTGCCATCTAGAAAATGTTTAGTTGATGCCATCACTAATTTTTGCCAATATTCTAATGATAATGGCGTCTGAGGTTTGAAAAAGAATTGACTACTATTAGCAAGCAACTGTTTAAAAAATTGAGGGAGGTTTTAGTAACCCTAATTAAAAATACAAATTTGTTTTAACTATGAAAGTTTAAATGATCACTCCAAACTAAGGTTTTTAGAATCGAATTGGACAATGAACCAATCAGGGTCCCGTTCTCAAGTCAAACAGTCTGACCATTTGAACCAAATGGATAGTCCGTTTCAACAAAAAAATAAAAAAATAAAAAACAACCAAAACCATTGGACGGTTCGAACACTCAGATCAGTGGTTTGCTGATCAAATCAACGGTTTTTGACAAAATAATAGTTCTAAGGTAAAACAGAACCGATCACCTGACCAATTCCCAATTTTTCCAATCCGAGCATCTGATCCAATCCGGTTTTGAAACTTATACTCCGCTATTAGCCTCATACCCTGAGTCCGTGACTCGAAATGGAGCTGGATTACATGCCTTCCATGTTCTTGGAATACCATTTGCAATTTTAATAGCGGTATTCCAGCTGATCCGGACTCCCCAAAAGTGGACATTATCCTCGTATAATATTGAAAATTATCAGTAAGCAACCTAGATCAGAACCTGAGAAATATATATTATATACTGATCTGGGTTCTGGTTTTTGGTCACTGTCCCTGCGTTGAATCTTCGACGCTTTCGCTTGTTCCATCTCTGTTCATCAACCAGAGCGGGCAAGCGAAAGCGACTGATAGGTAGAAGGTGCTCTTCCTTCATTTGGTTTTAAGTTATTCTACAAGGAACGATGATGTCACTGCGCATCCCAGCTTTGTTTCTTATTGTTAGTTCGATGGGTCTTCTTTTACCTTTGGGGGAATCGATTTGGTTGACTCTTCCTCCATTAAGAACCAAGTGCGTCTCAGAGGAAATCCAGAATGGAGTATCTGTCTTGGCAAAATACAATGTCATATCTGCCGATCAAATAGGCGACGGCCCTGCCATCACTGTCAAGGTATATATATTTTTCTAACTCAAAGTCCCCGTTGCATTTTAGGCTGTTTGCCTCTCAGTAAGTTATTTATCCTTGTAAATGTATTTATTCATCTTCTTTTATTTCTTATCTAAATAATGTAATGACTATTTTACCTATAAAAATTTGTTATTGAAAGAGGCATTTTGTTCCATTCATGTGTTGGGCAACTTTCCCTCAAGTGGGAAAATTATTTATCCCAACATTTTCAACCTGCCGTTAACCCAACCGTCAAATCATTTGAACTATCACCCGGCCAGGATTCTGAGTCCAATTCAATCAAGACTAGTCAGATGATAAAAAACCGTTGACTTGGTCAAGAACCGTTTGACCTGACCAGTTTGACCGTTGACCCATTCAACCCGGTGACTGAATCGTGGGTTGTACACTCAATGCATACAAAATTTTTGGAGGCCATAACTTTGCACTCCATTGTTTGATTGGGATGATTTTTTTTTATTTTAAGTAACTTTTCGAGTTCTATGCATCCCCGCTATTTTTCAGAAAAAACCCATTGTTTAGCCTCAAATTGAAATTTTTAATAATGTTTATAAATAAAAAATTAAAAACTGAATTTAAGAAACATAAATTAAATATAAAATAATACATATAGCATATCTAAAACATTTTTAAACATTATTTATTGCTAAAATATATATTTACACACACATACACACAGACATATATATATATATATATATATACACTAATGTGGCACAGTTTGAACCATTCATCCTAACCTGTTGAACCAGTGACCTGCGACCCAGTGGCAAAAAACAGTTCGGCCTCCAGATCAGTTTTTAAAACATTGATTTACCCACCTAAGAGATAGGTATCATTTGCCCGGATAAATATACCCAGGAAAAAAAAACTTTCCCCGATCCCCATATAAATCTGATAAAAAAACATGGATTTCTTGATCAATAAAAATCAAAATCCCATTAACCAACTTTTCCCTCTCTCAAAAAAAAAACACCCTCTTAATTTAATTTATTTCTGTTGGATATTGATTGATGATTGATAATTCCACTTTGTATATACATACATACATATATATATATATATATATATATATATGTATATATATATATATATATATATATATATATNTATATATATATATATATATATATATATATATCTATGTGCAACTTATTTGATAAATCCACTTTGTTTCAAGGTGACATCTCCATCTGGAAGCAACATCTACAGAGTGGAAAATGCTACTGATGACTGGATTGAATTCAACACCACCGAGGCTGGGAAGTATTTGGTCTGTTTTTGGATGGGTGACTATCATCAAGATGAGGAAGCAAGCGTTTACCTTGATTGGAAGATTGGAATTGCTACAAGGGACTGGGATTCTGTTGCAAAAGAAGAAAAGCTCCTGGTTTGCACATCTTAATTTCTTCCTTTCTCTTTACCCCTTCGCATAGTGCTTATTGATATTTGGATGCATATATCTGGTGTCATATAGGGTGTTGAGCTAGAGCTGAGGAAACAAGAGGAAATAGTGGAGTCCATTCATGAAAAGATGCTCCGTCTCATGGGCAGGTAGTGAGTGTTCTTTTCTGATTCAATGCAACCAAATATATTTGGTTGCCATCGTTTTAAGCAGGTAGAATAATATTTTTAATTAATTTGTTATTAATAGGGAAATGGAAATGAGGGTGGTAATTGAAACAATCCATGCCAGAGTAACAACGTTCAGTATCATGTCTTTGGGGATCAACATAGTGGTTTCAGCTTTGCAGCTATGGTATTTGAAACGTTACTTCCGAAAGAAGAAGATTATTTAGACTTGACGAGTTAGCTAGCCTTCAGATAATGCACAACCTACAACCATTATATTTATAGGCAATGACAAATTAAAACCAAATTATAGGCATCTTTGCACTAATTCTTCCTTTTCTTTATTAGGGCAAAGCTTAAATCAAATCTGCTACACGTACATTAGTTTTTTTGTCAGTTCTAAAGTCTTGACACCCACAAAAGCATGTAAAGATTTTATTCCATTATTATTTTATTTTGTATTAAAGTATCAACTAATATGTAGGACTAATTTTACCAACAAAATATTATTTGAGTCTTGAGAAGCGCATTGTCCAACCACTCTACATACAACACTATACTATTTTTTCAAGATTCAAGGATAGAGATATTTAGCCAAATCGTAGTCCAACCATTCTAAAGTGATTCATACAAGCATGAATCCTAGGTTACAGAGCTTATTCAACTATTCCTTCCATGCATTCCAAAGATTTTTGTCAATGTGAAGCTGAATTCTAAATTATCCCACTAATCTCTATGATAAGTCTATACATTCTCATGTTCATAATCCCAAGTAGATGATAATACATCAAGGATTTTTGACATAATTCATCCTATGTATGTTTAAACTATGCAAATAACAAACCAAGACTACTCAAGATACCTTAAAATGAGCATCGTACGATTTTACTTATAAATGTAGTTTTCATAATAATCGGGTCTATCGGGTAAGAAAGACTCGATAGACTCTATCAACTATTAATTGGGACGATTTTGGGTCCATTAGTTTGTTCAAATTAATAATCGGGTCTGGTCCGATTATTCACCTAACATGTTCTATTTGATGTTTATATAGGGCCCACCATGAGCCACTATCCTTAGGTTTGTCAATAATACTTAAAAATATCTTATATTTGGATGATGTATTTGTGTAATCAGATTGGATTTGGATGTTTTCATCTACATCTGATTTATAATTACATTGGATTCAGATTTGACCCCATCTGATCTGATTAAAAATCTGAGTTCAATTATATTATAATATTTAATTGATTTTAATATATAATTATATTTAAAATTATACAAAATATATATTATATATAATAAATTCAATATGTTATATTTATATTAATTTAATATGTATAAAAGTTTAAAAGTAATTAAAATTTTATTTTATTGTTATTTTAAAAAAGTAAAGTAGAACTGGATTAAATCCTAATCTAATCCGAATCCACTAGGATTTGGATTCAAATATGAAGTCTTCAAATCCAATCCGATTTCTGATCGGAGTTTGATGCAACTTTTGAATACTTGATTTGAATTAATTTGGATTTTCTGAATCTGATTCAATTACAACCCTAACTATACTTCACTTTTACAAATGAGCAGTGAATAGATTATCTAGATCACTTCATATCAGCTAAATAAACTTAATCTTTAGCTCAGCTCTCCTAGGTGCCTGATAGCTTGAAAGGGCCATTACTTTGGATGAAATGCAATTAACAAACTTTAACCGTTGGAAATGATCTTGGGTCCGGATATAGTAGGCACGTTAAGTAAGCACCTAATAACTGTGTGACAATTGTTCCAGCTAATTTGCCTTTCATCTTAACGTTTTTGTTCCATTAGGAGTTTTCTATTGTTTTATTATTTGTTTCAAAATAATTAAAAATAAAAAAAAATCATGATAAAGGAAAACCTGCCCCATTTAATGCACCTTTCTCTCCACCCCTTTAATGTTTAGGGTTCTTCCACTTCTGGACCTTTAGCCACTGCAACTGGTTGGTTGGTGCAGGCACTCAACTTGGTTGAGTAGAGTGGATTCAATTATTTGCATCGTGTTTTCTCAAGGACCCTTAAAATAAATATCGCATTTAATTCTATTAATTACAATATTTTTTCATCCTCTATTATCTTTAGAAATTCTGAAACTAATTTTTACTCTATTGTTATTTTGTTTATAATAGATAGCTTTGATTCGGTGTATAAGTTATAAAATTTTAAAAAATAAAGAACATTCCTGCACATGGAGAGCTTTAGTAGTAATACATATAAACTAGCGGAGGGGCCCTGCTTCGCAGAGGCTGGAATGGAACCGTCAACCCGATCTCTAGCCAAAAACCGTTGAGTCGGTCAAAGACTCATTGACTCGAGCGATCGAACCATCAACCCATTAACCCGTTCAATGGTTTTTGGCTATTTTTTATCTTTTTAATTCGGAACCATCTGTGCAACCGGTTCCATTTTATCCTAATCTCGGTCCCTGGCCAAAAACCGTTGAATCGGTCAACGACCCATTGACCCGTTTTTTGTCGTTTTTTATTTTTTTTTTAATTTTTGTTGTCAGAACGGGCCATCCGTTTGGACCAAACAATCAAACCGTCGACCTGAAAACCAGTGGCCAGAATAGTTCCATTTTTAGGTCGTATGAGTCACACGCTTGAATGACATAACACATATGGTACTGCTTAATGGACCTCACACTCAATTTTTTGCCTATAATTTTTGTTGTCAGAACGGGTCATGTTTTTTTTTTTTTTTTTTTAATTGGGAACCGTCTAGGCAACTAGTTCCATTTTACCCCAATCCTGTTCCCTAGCCAAAAACCGTTGAATCGGCCAACGACCCATTGACCCGAGTGGTTGAATTGTCAACCCGTTGACCCATTCAATGGTTTTTGGCCATTTTTTTTTATTTTTTTAATTTTTGTTGTCAGAACGGACCGTCCATTCGAATTGGACGGTTGAACTGTCAATCCGAAAACTAGTGGCAAGAACGATTCCATTTTCGGGTCATATGAGTCACACGGTCGAATGACATAACATCATGGTTTTTAAAACCGACCCAGAGATCGAACCGGTCAAGGGTTTGATTATCGGGTCGAACGGCCCGTTCTGACAAAAAATTAAAAAATGGTCAAAACAGCAGAAGGTTTTTTTATAATTGAAACCCTCTTTATAATTGAAACTTAAACGGCAGAAGATTGGAGATCGAGAATCCAATGAGTTCCAAGTAGTTCCAACTCCCAACACGTTTAGGCTTTCCTTTTTTATGATTTTTTTATTTTTAATTATTTTAACACAAATAATAAAATAATAAAAAACTTCTAACGGAACAAAAACGTTAAGATAAAAGGCGAGTTAATTAGGGTAGTTATCACACAACTATTAGATGCTTAATTAGTGTGCTTACCTAAGGTGCCTACTACATCCGGACCCTTATCATGGGTGCAATTAGTCTTTACCCCACTCGTGATGTGTCTTTCTACCAAAAAAACACACAATGTATCTTGTAACATGGGAAGCCTTTCGACTTTTTCTCTCTCCATGTTTTCCACCCATCATGTGTGTTTCTACCTCGCATCCATTATCGTGCTCTCTCTCTCGCTCTCCCTCTCTCTCTATTTCCACGCATCTGGGCTCAGTATGTATTTAATATCTCTCTTTGTCTGTATCTCTCTCCTCTGAATATGTGTTCTTTTATACGCTGGCATCAACACCATCATCACACAGAACACTCAAAGGATTGCAGTCGAAGCTTGATTGACATGGACGTCATTTCACAATATCAACAGAAGTGCTACTGCACTGAGGGAGAATGGATTGATTCTTGCCAAGATTGGTTCGAGAAAGCTTTGAGTGGGGATCCAGATTGGTTGGAGGAGGCTTTCGATGTAGATCTAAATCATCCAGCGAAATTGTCTACCCCAAAGGTATAGTGAATAAACACATTGATTTTGGTTTTTGTATTGGGCGTGTTGAGGTCTTTTTGAGTGTGATACCTTGACAAAAAGAGTCCAAAGTCTAACTTTATTGTTCAATGTCTAACTGAACCTGTCGTACCAACTAGCCATTAAGTTTCGTCTCCAAAAAAGAAAATCAACCCTCTCTCTCTATCCAAAGGTTTTAAATTATTTCCACCTTTTACTCATCTAACTAAACCCTTCCCAAACTCTCTCTCTCTCTCTCTCATTTGAATTTGTGATTCCATCTTATGTTGCATAATTTTCTTTTTTTTTTTTTTTTGCATTGCTCAGTAAGCAAGCTCATTGGATTCAAATATAGTAGAAAAGCGAGTTTGTAGTCCTTTTCTATTGAAATCATAAAGAGGTTTCTGGTACTACATTATTTTGTGTTTCAACCAATTCCAGACATACTATGATATTTGGGCATTTTTCAACTCACATTTTGCTCTAATTCAGCAATCCACATTCCCTTATGAAGCCAGCCTTTGCATATTTTGTGGTATTTATTGGCAGTGTATTATAAATTTTGGTTTAAAAAATTAATTCCAATTAACTTATTTGTTTTATTTTTATAAATGACTTTATTGAGGTGAGAAAGTATCAAATAAAACACACCTTGTGTAAACATTATTTGTTCATGTGCAATGAAAGGTGATGATTCACTAGATGGTTATTCAAATCATGGAGTATCTATGAAGAAATGAACTTAATTAACAATAGAACACATAATGAGCATGGAATTTTAAGATGTGGATGCAGCATGAAAATTCTACAGTTCATATGCAAGGGAGATTGGATTTAGTATTCAAAGAGGTGATAAATATGCTGATGGATGTGTTGTGTCACAACGATTTGTATGCGCAACTAAATGACATAGAAACTCCACATACTTGAATCGTAAAAAACGGCATGGCCATCGCAACGATTAACAAGATTTGATTGTCTTACGACTATGTTAAATATGGTAAAACATTAAACAAATCGGTGGTGGCTAACTTCATTGCTAAACATACATATGAGCTTGCACCAAACCCCATTTCCATGTCTATGATATCACATGCATAGAGCATTACGTGATGCTAATAGTGCTCAAATATCTGCTCTACACAATGCTAGGGTTAAAATAAGACTAATAATGTAGTCTTTACTGACAAAGATCTTAACAAATTTGTTGATTCAATCAAGCGAAATGTTGTAAAACATGGGGATGTAGAGACAATATTGGATTTTATGGAATTTAAAGGTAGAGAAATATTTATTTTTTGAATATAGTATTGATGAAGA